TATATCACTTAAAGACTTCAACACAGCAACAAAAATGGATGGCATGTAACTTGAAGAAAATAATGACATAATCAAAATGTTGATGTTCCACAGTTGTTCAAATAAAGGTTGGGAAGGAAACCCACATCAATACTAGAAAAGGCCATAATATAAAATATATCAACAAATAACAGAAACTATATCATTTAATGACTTCCAACAGCAGGCAACAACCAAATGGATAGTACATGTAACTAAAATGGAAGAGAAAATAATGACATAATCAAATGTTGATGTTCCACAGTTGTTCAAATAAAAGGTTAGGAAGAAACCCACATCAATACTAGAAAAAGAGCCATAATATTAACAAATAACAGAAACTATATCACTTAAAGACTTCCAACAGCAGCAACAACTAAAATGGATAGCACATGTATCTTGAAGAGAAAATAATGATATAATCAAAATGTTGATGTTCCACATTACTTCAAATAAAAGGTTAGGAAGTAAACCCACATCAATACTAGAAAGAGCCATAATATTAACAAATAACAGAAACTACATCACTTAAAGACTTCCAACAGCAGCAACAGCTAAAATGTGTAACAGATGTAACTTGAAGAGAAAATAATGATATAATCAGGATGTTAACAAACAGAAAGTTCGGAAAGAAACCCCCATCAATACTGGAAAGAGTAATAAATGCTACTGGACTTGAGAAACTTGTTTTAAGAGAAGGATTTTATAAATTTCAATTGAAAACAGTACTGGCTGCTCAGTCAATTAATGCCAAATGTTTTCTTGTAACTAATATTACCATAATATTAACATCAATCTCTTAAAGTTTCATGTAAACAGTTTGCAGAAGAAGAGAGGCTAAGTATGTCAAGACCTTAAAATACAAAATATGATTATACATAAATTCAAAACAGTCTTATCTGTTATAAATGAAAGTACAAAACTAAAACATCAACTTGAAAACTCTAGTCATGTTCTTAAATGGCCTTGTCAGATTAAGACTTTCATATGGATGCCATGTATGGCACCAAACCCATTCAAAAATATCTAAATGGTCAACTGTATACAACTGCTTCCTAAGATCACTGCTGAAAAAAGGCTTTGAGAGTGTAATGGGTCTTGACAAAGACCATCTTTCTTTGAACATTGTGATTCTGTAGTGCCAGTCAACAAATAAAGAACTGTACCAAATAACAGAAACCACATCACTTCAGGACTACCAACAACAGTGGGATATTTTGCAACTTCCTCAGTCACATATGTTGACCCCTTCTACCTCAGTGTATGGATCAGTTCTAACAAATTAAGTATATAAGAAAAATAAACTGAATATAGAATAGGCTGTACCAGAGATAGCTTCATCCAACACTGCAAATTGCTACAAAACCAAAATATCAGCCTAAGAACTTGAGTCATGTTCTTAAATATCCTCATCAGATTGAGAGTTTCATATTGATGCTATGTATGGCGCCAAATCCGGTCAGAAATATCTAAACTCTCAGGTGTATAGAATCACTTCCTAAGATTAATTGTGGACTGTGGATTGGTGCTACAGAACCACAAACAAAGAACTGTACCAAATAACAGAAACCACATCAGTTGAAGATTATCAACAGCAGCAACAAAAAAATGGTTAGCACATGTATCTTAAAGAGAAAATAGTGACATAATCAAGAGGTTAACATTCCACACCACTTTAAATAAAAGTTTAGGAAGGAAAACTTCATCAACACTGGAAAGAGTAATAATGGATACTGGACTTGAGAAACCTGTTTTTTTAAAAAATTGTTTTAAGAGAAAGGTCTTATAAAGTTCAACTGAACACAATACTGGTTGCTCAATCAATGAATGTCAAGTGTTTCTTTGCAGGGAAATGGCAAATATTATAGTACTGTGCAAATTAATTGGGACAGTAACTTCAGTTTAATATATTCTTTTATACCATCTTTGGACAGCATCACAATAGTTTAATGACTCCTAACCACAATGAAATCATTACAGTGCACACATCTAGAACACTTGAAATAATTTTAATATTTTAGAATTTATTTGTGACTAAACTTTTTTGTTTGGTTAAGAATTGTATGATTTATCTTATTTTTCTTGTTAGTTAGATTTTTATGTTTTTTCAGTTACTGATTCTGATTTCAAAAGTAACCTGGTTATTTTCTTTCAACAGGTAAAATAAAAATGGATATAACTGCTAGAAAGCGTACACAGGTCATTGAGCTCCACCAACATTCAAACAAATCTGTATGATGAATAGCTCAAAGCCTAAAGATAAGCAAGTCCAGTGTTGGACACATTGTGAAAAGACAGGCTCTATCGGTGACAATCAGGTTTTGAGAAAGGAAAGTTATGAAAGAAAAGGGAAAACAACCAAAAGAAATGAAGCAATGCTGTTCAGAAACAGCATTAAAAATCCAAGGCAGAGTAGCAGGGACCTGGTAGCAGATTTAGTGGAATCCATTGTATCCATATCTGACTCAACTGTCAGGAGACGGCTACTGGAAATGAAGTGACCAGCCAGAAAACTACATAAAAAACAGCTTTTGACAGGAAGAATGAAAGATAAACTCCAATGGACACATTCTCATAAAGATTGGACGGTGGAAGATTGGAAAATGTTGTTCATGGATGAAACGCACTTTGAAGTGAGAGGTCATCGATCCCACTTTGTATGGAGAAGCAAAGGTGAACCCATAAGAGATGGCCATATTGACTAAAAGCCAAAACACATTCCCAAGAAAATGTTCTGGGTCAATTTTAATGTGAATGGGTTAGGTAGATAGAGAATAATTGAGGGGATGATGACTTGCACAAAATATGAACATTTTTTGAAAATCCATATGCTCCCAACAATGGAAGAATTTTACCCAGATGAAGATGGTGTGTTTCAGCAAGATAATGCCACTTGCCACACATAAAATTTTTTTTCAAAAATGAGGGTGTAAAAAGTGTTGAACTGGCCAGGAAATTCCCCTAACCTGAGCTCCATTGAAAACTTGTGGAGTATTGTGGAGCAATGACTGATAAAACATGACTGTACCACCATTGAGAAGCTAATCTGTACAGTCATCCAGTTATGGTATCACAATGAAGAATTGGGTAACATATGTCTGGAACTGGCCAAATCTATGCCAAAATGTGTCCAAATGCTCATTAAAAATAGAAGCAGACATAAAATATTGATTTGTAACATTTTAGAATAGTTATGTAAAGCCTTTGGGGAAAAAATAAACATAATTTGATGTCAGTTCTCTATTTTATTGAAGTCACTGTCTCAATTAATTTGCACAGTACTGTACTATTACTAACTATGTTTTCTTTCAGAATTGGCATGTGGTAAAATGTAATCAAAACAGTGAAGAGATGAGTCACCCCACACCCCGGAAGTAATATTGACCAAACACTGGAGAACATTTAAATGAACATATTAGGTCTTGCATACCATTATTAGCTATAAATTAGTTCAGGCCTCACTTGTGCCAGACTAGGCTGAGCTCATTACATATTTCCCAACAGTAAATATCTATACAAATTATCCTGACAATTTAGTGGATTAATATATTCTAGAGAAAAATTACTTATAGGAAAGAGGAATTTGAATTATTTAAATTATATCTCTGGGGAGGAGATATTTTTGAAGCAGTACTTTGAACTAATAGCACATGTTATTGGTTTACACTTAAAGTGTGAAGGAATTGTAATATTAGATCTAACAATGCACTCCACACACAGCGTTAAATGCAATGATTATGTTTACTTGCTTCTATTCCCCCATGAAAGTTCAGTTATTTGATAAGAAAAATGTTATTTCTATAAAAGCAAAGTGTAGAATTACTTTTGTCAAGGTCAGCTGAATAAAATCAGGTTAATCCTGCATAGTTCCTGGTTTAGAATGGAGTTTGCAGTTATAAAAGCCTTCACTTTCCAGTCCTGATAGAATCCAGAAGTGTCTCCGCAGCCTTTTGGGTGAGGAATTATTTTCTGCCCTACATCTTTCTGATAAATGAAAAGTCACAAGCCTCGTGTTCCTCTATCACTATTTCCACCAGTTCTAACCCTCACCATTAAAACTCACCGTGCACATTATAGCAAACCATCCTCATTCACTTTGTATTCTCTTCTTCCTCTGAATAGCTACTTTGTGGAACTGGCTCCCAATAGGATACTTTCTTGATCATTACAATTTTAACCTGTTCAAGTCTAGGGTTTACGATTATCGTCACCACATATCCTCATAAACTGTGCCCCTGACCTCTTACTCTGTAACCCTCTACCTTGAGTAGCTCTTAGGCCTTGTACATTATTATATTAAAAAAAATCCAAATGTGTTTTACTGTTTTCTTTCTAGATATATTCTATGATTTTGAGAAGAGCCATTATCATTCTAAAAGTTGTTTGGTCAAGTCAACTCATTCTTTTTGTATAAGATAACCTAGAGATAGAAAGAAATAAAAGACTATAGGAAGGAAACAGAAAAGAATGAAATAAAGAGAAAAAAGAAAAGACAAAGAGAAAAAGGAAAAAAAAAAAGGAGGAAAAACAATAAAAGAAAGAGGTAAAAAGAAACAGAAAAAGAGAAAAAGAGAAGAGAGATAAAGAAATAAAAGAGAAAAGAAATTAAATAAATAGAAAAAGACAAAAAAATGTTCTGCTGAAAATGAATGCAAATATCAATATAAGATAATTGTAGTAATTTTTGTATTTTGAACATTGTTGGTTGGTTGTTTTTTTGTTCAGCAGCATATCAATACCTCTATGGGTTATTTAATGCCAAAATCTAAATATTTTGTATACAATTTTCTTTTTGAGGTAATGTTCTTTTAGTAGTACAAGTTTTACTAATTAACCCATAGCTGGGGGAGAAGAGGTGGATTTATACCTTCCCCAAGGGTATTTGCACATAAGTGAATATAATGAACTAAATGTGAATTGGAACTCAGATCTCCGATTAAGAATTTTGAGCTATTGCCCATTACACAATCCACACATCCAAGCTTACAGTGCCTGGTCTTCCCAAGTGGCCACCCATCAAGGTACTGAGCAGGCTTGACATTACTTAACTTCAGTGATCATATGAGAACTGATGTTTTAACATAATGTGGATGTAAGCCCCTCCTATGTAGGAGAAACCACCATCTGATCTGGCATGTTTTAGAGCACTCAGCCACAAAGAGCAACAAAATCCACCAAGGTTCAATTATCCTTTTGAAGAATGCACATCCTTCTGTTATATATATATATATATATATATATATATATATATATAAATGATAAAATTATAAAAACAGTTATAATTCAAGAGATCATTCCCTCAAATGTGTATATAAAAAATGTCACACTTTGCTTACATTACAGCACTTACTAGTCTACGAAACTTACCAATTGTCTCTACCTACCCTGATGATGACTTAAGAAAATCAAAAGCTTGAACCATATTCCTTGTGCTTTTCTTCTGAAAATATATATATACAATGCTGTACAAAATTAAGTGAACCCCTAAGATATTTAAAATAATTGTCTCTTTTTTCCAGATAATCAACAAATCTTAATTAAAATATATATTCATTAAGAAAAAACTTTATTAAATCAATTAAAATTTGTGCATGTCCCTAGACCAGAAAACTTCTGGAAAACTCTTTCAGTTCCTTTTTCAACTTTTCAGTTGCCATATTAGTACTCGTCATAACAACATTTATCTTATTGCAAGAAGAGTTAATTGGAAGGTCCTAAAGATCAATGCAATCCAGTCTTTTCCAAACAAATTAGTGGTATTCTTTAATACAAATACCACTGCTTTTTTGGTTTTCCCAACAAAAGAAATGTTACAGCTGAATTCATCCAAAAAGTTCAATCTCTTTCCTGATACTCCATACGCAACTTTATCAGAAGTCAATAAACTGGGTTTACCCATTTTTCTTCCTGTCTGGTCATTTATGATAGTGATATCAGATCCTGTATCCAGTTGCAATTTTATTTTTGCATCATTAATTTGCACAAAAACACATTTCTCTTTTGAGATATCTTGTTAATTTCCCTTTTAGGTTTCTTATCATTACTCCATGTATTTATCATGTTCACATGAATTTTCTTTTTTTCAATTTTTTTTGTATCTGCAACATGTACTTTTGTGTCCTAATCTCCTACATTCATAACTTTTTTTTTCTTGAAAAAACAATCACTTTTAAAATGCTTACCTCCACAACCATGACAAGTATTAGGTATTGAGGGGGTTTATCATCTTTTTTCCTGTTCTATTAGGATTTGAAAAACGTTTGAATTTTTTCTCTTAGATGGTCAGACACTATGTACTTATGAATTGTCTTTTTCTTCAATCCTTGTGGCATTGAGTTTCAAATTCACAATACACTGACATTCTTCCACTATTTTCTGGAGAATTAATTTGGGATCCATTTCTAATTTAGCAAGTATCCTGGATCTTATCTCCGTGTCCTTATTAGAAATTAAACCCTGTATGAATATCAGGCACTCAAATAAATCAGGAGTTAATTCATTTAACTTGGAGTTTTCACATTCTCAATTCATGACTCCTGCATAAGTGACTAAATCTTCATCATCAGACTTTACGACATTGCCATCGTGTATTAAATAATGAGTTCCCATCACCAAAAAGTTTTGATTGTATTAAAATAGTCGCTTCAAAATTTATCTCTCCTGGTTTTTTTGGCAAAATATAATGTACATATGTTTCATGTTCAGCAGGGGACAATTTCCTTAATAATAACCAAACTTTCTTTTTATCATTCCAATGTGAATAATCCCTTTTGGAGATCCCTTCGTATCTTCTATAATAAGCTGGAAAAGTTATCCCTTCGTCTGGATTGTATACAAATTCGATGATTGAATTAGCAACAGCATCTGGATTGAATGAATCTGAAATTTTTTCCTTCCATGGTTTTGGTAAACAACTCAAAAACTTCTGTTGCTGTAGTTGCAATTATAATTGCTGTTCATGTTGTCATTTTTGTTGCTGCAAATGTTGTTCTTGTAATTTTTGTTGCTGCAACTGTTGTTCTTGTTGTTTTTGTAGCACCAACATTTGAATCATGATAGCTTTTTGTTCTTCCATTTTACTGAACTCTGCTGAATGAATCCTCGTATAAGTACATGGAATCCTTGCAAATTTTTATCAACACTTTTGTGATCTCAACAAACACTTGTTACTACTTGTGTAATGCCAATGAATACTTGTTGTCACTTTCATAAATGCTCATTGTAGTAGAGACTTTGTAATCGCAGATACAACTATAGTAGGCTGTAGAACAATGCTAGTGTCAGATGCCTTCAAATAGCACTCACACTAATAGTTCTTGTTCGATAATACTTGCTTGAACAGTAATCACTGTATATTGATTAGTATAGAGGAATAGTATAGAAAATAGAGTATAGAATAGTGGTCTGTATAGTGATAGAGAATAGAGGAGAAATAGCGATCTGTATAGTAATAGAGGATAGAAATAATGATCAATTAGACACATGCTACCTCCTATATATGCGTTTCCTCCATGGTCACATGGTCTACTTAATTCAATAATGGGATCACCTGTGTTTGCTCACTGGTGATCTATGTTCAAACTCAAGTGTTGGCAGCAACAATTTATAACAGTATCAAAACGATTTGGAGTGCACTTCTCCACTGTGCAACAAATTATTTATAAATAGAAAAATCATACCAAAGGCTTTCTATTTATAAATAATTTGTTGCACAGTGAAGAAGTGTGTCTAATTGATCATTTGATTGGCATCAAAATCAAGAAGTGGCTATCCACGAAAAATAACTGGAAGAGCAAGTAGACATCTAGTTCGGCAAGCCCAGGCAATTCCTGCTATGATCTTTGTGGTTCTCCAATGCTCACTGAGACTTGGTAAGAAAAATGGTCAAAAATCGGCACTCATTACTGCCAGAAACTTCTTAAAGATTATAAAAAAAGACTGGTTGACACTGTAAACTCAAAAGGAGCAGTCACCAAATATTAGAAGTAAGGATTCATTTACTTTTGCACATCTTAATTTTTGATTAATATTTTTATTCCAGCTTGATAAAAATTTTTGAAAGTAGTTGTAATTAATTTAATAAAGGTTTTCTTAATAACTAAATAGTTTAATTAAGATTTGTTGATCATCTGGAAAAAAAAGACAATTTTTTAAAATATTATCTTAAGGGTTCACTTACTTTTGCACAGTACTGTATACACACACACACACACATATATATATATATATATACACACACACACACACATGTGGATATATATATATATATATATATATATATATATATATTGTGATGTGTGATGAAAGCAGATAGCCTAAACACGCATATACGCATATATTAGGGTTAATTTCCGCCTAGCAACAGAATAAAGGTCACGTGGGAGTCTTTATGACATTTTGGGAAGGCAGGTCAAAAGGTTGACTGACTCAATTACCAGATGGCGACAAATGTCTAGACAGAAGCTAGACAGGGGACGGATGCTTAGAATTCAAGGCCAAAACTTAAGACACGTGACAGTCAGAGATTCACTCGAGAATCAGTTGCTATCTTGATTCGGAAGAGACAAAACCTGAAGTCGAGGCGCTGATAGTTTATGAATGGAAAGATAAGATGCATTTGATAGTGATGGAACTTATCCAGTTCAACTCAGGCAACTCCGGACAAGAAATATAAGAAGTATTCCTGTTCGATAACCCCAAATTGAAGACGCAGAGAACTTTGTATGCTGAGGATTCAGCCTGCGTTTAAAGAAAAAGGAAAAACCAGAGAAGAAAGCATATACCTCTGTTACAAGTTGAATTGTGTAAAGAAAGAAAAGGGAAAACCAGAGAAGAAAGTGTATACCTCTGTTATAAGCTGAATTGTGTAAAGAAGGAGAAGGAAAGAAAGAAGAAAACCAAAGAGAGGAAGAAAGTGTACATCCCTGTTGCAGTAAGTCGGGTTTGGAAACCGAGCTGTCTAGAGAAGAAAAGGAAGGAAAGAAAAAGGCGAAACAAAGAGAGGAAGAAAGTGAATACCTCTGTTACAGCCGGACAATATGTGAAATTGTGTTTGTGTCGAGAAAAGAAAAGAAAGGACATTGATATAAAAAAAAGAGAACTGAATATAAAAGATAAGTAATCATATTTTGGACTCGTAGTAGAAAGATATACATACATCCATGAATATTATGTTTTTGCAAACACCTTTCCACATGTAAAACAATAATTGTAACTCCTATTCCATCTCTTTTGTGTGTGCGTTGGCTTCTGCATTCAATTCATAGTAATCCATACTTATATTTTTGTATGTTTGGGTTCAGTTGAATCCATTTATGAATTTTGATATCCCAACGTAAGTTTGAGATCTGGTCGTCGGATGTTTTAACTCATACTTATCTGTTCTTTTATTTTGATATTTGTATATTTGTACATACTAAAATTCTTGTATCAAAAATTGCTAAGCCTTATAGTTCATCCTTGTATTGTGGATCAGTATTCGTGTTGAAAATGAAGCTGACCTGGGAAAGATTACTGTTTGATTATCCCAATCAAACAGTGGTCTTAAAAATATTTTTTGTTTACCAATTGTCCATTCTCATGATCTGAGAGAGATAGCTTGCATCTCTCCATGGGTGTGAGAATGTATATATTTCCTAGTCGGCGTATGATCGCCCTATAAACCCATTTGTCGACTGGGGCATATGACAATATCAGGTCATCCCATAAGTTCTGTCCAAATTTTGAATAAAGAAAACAAGTGACCAAATGTTACATTTAATTACAGATTCAAGCAACAATGTATTTTCCCTGATTATCTATGACTTTCTTCCATCTATTAACAAGCTTACTAATTCCATTACTGTAAAATTCTTTTGGCTTTGATTCGAAGAACTCACAAATGTCAGTTTTAACCTCTTACTGTGTTACAAAAGCTGATTCTTTCATATGATTCTGTAAGCTATGAAACAAATGGTAGCTTGAAGGAGCAAGATCGGGAGAATAAGGTGGATGAGGAATTTTCTCCCAACCAAGTTCTTCGATCTTTTGTGACATGATTCTTGCTGTGTGGGGTTGCGCATTGTCCTGATGAAACATCACCTCTTTTTGATTCACTAGTACAGGTCTTTTTTCCTCAAAGCTTGGTTCAAATGCTCTAATTGCTGACAGTATATTTGAGCATTAATTGTTGCATTAGGTGGTAAGAATTCAAAGTGGATTATTCCTTGGCGATCCCACCAGATTGAAAGAAGAACCTTTTGCCCATGAAGTTCCCTTCTCGGCTGTGGCTGGGGTCCTTCCCCTTTACCAAGCCACCATCTACGGCGCTTAACATTTCGATAAAAATCCATTTTTTGTCGCCAGTCACAAGTCTATCCAAAAAAGGTGAAACAAGTTGGCGAGAATGGAGAGAAGAGCAGATGTCAACTCGGGATTTGAGGTTGTTTTCAGACAATTCATGAGGCACCCATTTTCCAAGTTTAGGAACTTTTCCAAGTTCTTGAAGATGACGATGAACAGTTGTATGGTTTGAACTGAGAACCACTGCCAATTCCTCAACTGATAAAGCAGAATTTTCTTCAAGGGCTGCTTCAAGAAGTTTTTCATCAAACTCAACTGGACGTCTGGTTCGATCTTCATCTTCAAGGGTGATATCTCCACCTCTGAATTTTGCAAACCATCTTCTGCAAGTTCTTTCATTCACACATTCCTCTCCATAAACTGAGTGAATGTTTCTAGACGCTTTGGCTGCTGAGTTTCCTTTCTTGAACTCATAAAGTATTATGTGCCTCAAATGATTCTTGGGTACTTCCATGTTAGCAGGGTTTTAATCAAACAAAATTTAATTTTATTGTTATCTGAAATAAAATTTGATCAGTTTAAATGCATCTAAACATAAAAATAATGTTCAGCTCCATTAGACATTATAAAATACTCTTTAAATTTTGTTCATTTTAACAAAAAGTTAAAATTCGGACAGAACTTATGGGTTGACCTGATATATATATATATATATATATAAAATTGACTCTCCCATCGAGATTCGAGGTATGAGGGTCAAGCAGATCAGTTTCAGGAAACCGACAACCCGACACCGCACATGAGATTTGATTATAGTGGTGAAGGCCTCGTGCAGGACCATCCACACTTTTTGAAGGGACGAATACAGAGACCTGGTGTAACTTCAATGCCACAAGGTTCCCAAACGACCCTCCTCAGGTTTTGAATTCAGAGTTTTCCTTCTCCTAGACCAGTTGCCATCCAAGGCTATAGAACCCATTCTGTCCTGCTATTTTACCCATATATATATATATATACACACACACACATATGCATATATATATATATATATATATATATATATATGTATATATACACACATATGTGCATATATATATATATATATATATATACACATACATATGTGCATACATGTTTGATTAAGCAATTTAGACATGTGCTTGCTTATTTTCAATAAGATACTTTTGTAATCTCATATGAGCTTTCTTGTTTCGTGATTAAAGACAGCAAGAAATATATTATGGTTATATTTATTCATATTTATTTTTTCTGAGTACATTTGATATTATTTCCAATATCATCATTGGTTTTTTGATGGCTATGACAAACAGTTGTGTTTGTCCAAAATAAGTTTTTGCTTTTGTGGTTAAACCGTTTAGGTCATGTGCAAAGACACAAACACTGATTTTAAATTTATGTTGTAACAGAAATTCTTTGTGTGTGTATATATATATATATATATATATATATATATATATATATATAGAGAGAGAGAGAGAGAGAGAAATAGAGAGATATTTGTACTTATTTCCATAAAAAATACAACTGATACAATTTTATAAGTTATTTTTTCATAGTTATGTCCATTAGTTATGATCTTTTGAGGTGCTTTCCATATGTTTTGAGCTGACAGTTATGCATGGTCATTCAGAAAATGGCTTGTTACACACACACCTCTGTCAGCACTGTTGAAACACATTACCCACTATGTTCACATTTACTGTTTGATTTCCATAAACATTCTGCAAATGTGGATGAATGTCAATGGATGCAGGTTTTCCTTCATGGAGAAATTTAATGATACACCTCTACATGTATGCACTTTCATGCCAGGTGCCATTTTGCCAGACTACTCTCTGTAAGACAACTACAAAATATGTGCAATTCCTCTAATGCCATATCATCAACATTTTTGGTATTGTGGCTAAACATAATAAAGCATGAAGCATTGCTTTTGGAGTACTATGGAATGGTAATATATTGAATCCATTGCTAGGTCTGCTGTTAAGAAAGTTGGTTCAATGTGTTATGATAGACAATTTTTCTTCCCAGAATCTATTTTACATATTTATAAGTCTACCATTTGTTCATACTTTGAATATTGGAGCCACATATGGTCTGGTGCTAATGCTATAAATTTAGAGATTCTTGATAAAATACAAAGAAGAATCAGTAATATTATTGGTCTTGACCTGGCATCTCGGCTTTAATCACTTTCTCACCAACATAATCTAACTTCTCCATGCCTTTTCTATAAATACTTTCATGGTAATTGTTCGGATGAACTCTTTGCTATGGTATCTAGACTTTGTGAATTTAAGCACAGTACTAGATTAGCAACAAGGTCTCATCAATTTACAGTTGAATTGGCTAAATGTAACCATAATTTCTCTGCTAGTGGAATTCTCTTCTGGCACTATACTTTCCAGTCAACTTTGATATTAAAAAATTTAAACTGCAATGTCAATGATTATCTACTGATTCTTGATTACTCTTCTACTGATTCTCACTCTTTAATAACATTACTTTTTTCTTATTCTTTCACTCAGTAATCTCATGTCTTAGTGCCTTGAATGGGGTGAAATGATTAAAAAAAAAATTAGCTGTTTCCTTATAAGGAAAAATTCAACCTTCCTTGACTGAGCAGCTAATATTCCTGTCAATTGAAATTTACAAAATATTTGTTAAAACAATTTTCAGGAAAAGAGGTTTCACAAGTCCAGTGATAACCATTTTAATTGTGACTGTTCTGAAAGGTCCTCAAGTGATGTGATCTGTTTATATATATATATATATATATATATAATAAAAATATAGATTTAAGGTATATTATGGGTAAATGTGTTCAATATCAAGGATAGAGTGTATGTAAATATAAAAGTGAACACTGATGTCAATACAAAATGATGATAGTCTATTTCATATGTGAATGCAATCTTCAGACCATGTATCATGTCTGGCTCGACTATTTATATATGCTGGTAAAATGTGCATTATGGGTAACAAGGTCTATTGTATTATCCTAATAGCTATTAAGTAGGTGGTAATAGTATATATTTAACTGTTTAAATTATTCTAGAGGCTATTGAGTAGAAATAATTGTGAATACAAATGTAATTATTTTGCAGCTATTTTGTCGTGTTGTTTGTTCATTTTTTACTCATTATTTATTACTTTATTTTGTTGTTGTTTATTATTAATACATTTACATGTGTTTATGCTTTCATTCATAGTTTGTTATTTTATTATTTTGGTGTGGGTGGGGGGTTTGAAAGATATATAGTTTTTATTAAGTATACTCTTCTAGTACTGGGCTGAGCCCCTTTTGTCTTTTAGAAGGGCGTCAGTTTTTCTCGTTATGAATTCATCAATGCTCTATAAACACTCTTTCAAAATTTGGGTCCCTGCTGTTATGGCAATCCACAATTGTTCTAAATTGGTTGGCTGCACATCCAGGATTCAAATATCCATTTCCACCACATACCAAAAGCGAGATTTGTTGGTTGTGGGAACCACTTTAACACAGAAAATGCATTTCTGAACTAATCTACTACTGTATTTGATTTGGGACACGGGGTGTTGTCCTGCTGGAATTGACCACCAGAGGATGGATGCACCATAGTCATAAATTGAGGGACATGGTTAGTCACAATATCTCAGTAGGCTGTGGCATT